TGTCTCAAAAAAGGCGGTCCACAAACCCTCTGTGCGGTGGAGCTCCCCGACTGGGTCATGGATGGATTTGAAGACGCTGGTTGCAAAGGGAAGTTGATGGAAAACACCCTGACAGAGAAGCAGTTTTTTTCAGACGTTTTCTTTCCTCACATTCAAGAAATCGATAAAGACTTGAGGGATCCCCTCATGCATTACGTCCTGAACGAGAAACTGGAACACTTTGCATCAATCCTCAGTGTTACCCCATGCATCCCGTGCACTGGTCCCAATAACGGATTGGTTTTACCCTCCAAACTCATTCATCCTGAGGGGAGAGTCGCAAAACTCTACAGCCCTGATGATGGAAGATTTCCTGAAGGGACCGCCAAAGACTACCTAAACCCAGTGTGTTTAGTCAAGTTAGTTCAGCTGGGCATGGTTAAGGATGACTTGTCATGGGAGGATCTGATTGAAAGGGCTGAGTCTGTAACCGGCCTCAATGAAAGTGATCACACAGCTGCGTGTGTTCGTAGCAGCATTCTGCTCAGTCTAATTGATGAGAAACTGAAGGTTAGAGACACTGCAGAACCCGAACTCTTAGAGAAGTTACAAAACATCAAGTTTCTTCCATTTCTGACCAGACCTGCGGGCTTCTCTCTTCCGTGGCACGGAAACAGTTTTGCCCCGTCGACAATGTTTTCTGCACGAGAAGTTTTCACAACTGAACATCAGGACACGGTGTGTCTGACGAAACCAATCCTGAATGAGAATTCTCCATCTTTCAAAGGTTGTGGTGCAATGTCATTGGCTGTGAAGGACTGTCTTGGCCTAATAAAAAAGCCCTCAGTTTCATTGGTCATCACTCAGCTCAAGAAACTGTCTCAGTCGTTTGATGGTGTCACGTTGTATCAGGAAAACATAACAAACGCCTGTTACAAATATCTGCATGAAGAAATGCTGCAGGATGAAAGTGCAAAACATCAAACAACTGAGGAACTGAAAGCCTTCAACTCCGTCTTGGTGGAGAACACCTACGTCAACCCCTGCAAAGTAGCATTTCACCTGAACTTCGATGCCGCTCCACACCTCTATCAGCTTCCAAACAAATACAGAAACAGCTGCCGCGAGCTGTTTGAAAACGTTGGAGTCCAGCCGAGTTTTACAGTCGAAGATTTCTCAGCTGTTCTTGAAAACGTGAAGCAGCAGTGTGGGCGAAAGACGCTCACAGAGGAAAACTTCCAGTTGTGTCGCAGGATTATAAGTGAAGGAATATGGAGTTTAATAAGAGACAAGAAACAGGAATACTGCAAAGAGAACTACGGCGGGATCATGTTGCCTGACACGAATATGATGCTGCAGCCATCTAAAACTTTGTGCTACAATGACTGCCCTTGGATCAAAGTCAGAGACACCACTGTGAAATACTGTCATGGGGATATTCCAAGAGAGGTTGCTGTGAAATTAGGAGCCATTCCAAAACGTCACAAAGCCCTGGAGAGGTACGCCTCAAACATCTGCTTCAGCACACTTGGAAGTGAGTTCGGACAGAAAGAAAAACTAACGAGCAGAATCAAAAGCATCCTGAATGCCTACCCGTCAGAAAAAGAAATGCTCAAAGAGCTGCTTCAGAATGCAGACGACGCCAAAGCCACTGAAATATACTTTGTTTTTGATTCACGGACGCATCCCACCGAGAGAATATTTGATGACAAATGGATGCCGATGCAAGGTCCTGCGCTTTGTGTTTACAACAACCAACCTTTCACCGAGGATGACATCAGAGGTATACAGAATCTTGGAAGAGGAACAAAGGAGGCCAATCCCGGAAAAACCGGCCAGTATGGGATCGGCTTCAACTCAGTGTATCACATCACTGATTGTCCATCCTTCATTTCAAACAATGAAATACTGTGTATCTTCGATCCTCACGCTTACTACGCACCTGGCGCTACGTCCGTAAGTCCAGGGAGAATGTTCAGAGACATCGACTCAGATTTCAGATCTCAGTTTTCAGATGTTTTAAATCTTTACTTAGGAGTTCATTTTAAACTAGAGCGCAGCACGATGTTCCGATTCCCCATTCGCTCTGGAGACATGGCAAAGACCTCAGAAATCAGTTCTGTCCCCGCATCAGACAGAATGGTGCAAAACCTTTTGGATAAGCTGAAAACTGACGGCGCGGAACTTCTGATGTTCCTCAACCACATGGAGAAGATATCAATTTGTGAAATTGATAGTGTGTCTGGAGAACTCAAAGTGCTGTACTGTGTGACTGCCAGAATAACAGACGGTGATAGGCTTAAACGCAAACAGTTTCATGCCTCTGTCATTGACAGTGTAACCAAAAAGAAGCAGCTTCCTGCAATTCCAGTCCAGCAAATAACCTACACATTGGACATAGAAGACACTGAAGGAAATCTGACCACTTGGATGATTTGCAACAGGTCTGGTTTTCCTAACATTGAAAATGTTTCTAAAAGTGTCATTTCAGCTCACAAAAATGAAGACATTACCCTTTTTCCACGTGGAGGTGTAGCCGCATGTGTTAGCCACAACTACAAAAAGCCGCACAGAGCCTTCTGCTTTTTGCCGCTGTCACTGGAGACCGGTCTACCTTTTCATGTCAACGGGCATTTTGCTCTGGACTCGGCGAGAAGAAACCTTTGGAGAGACGACAACGGTGTTGGTGTTAGAAGTGACTGGAACAACAGCTTAATGACATCACTTATATCACCAGCTTGTGTCGAACTGCTGATCCAGCTCAGGCGTCGGTTCTTCCCAGGTCCTGATCCCACACTAACTGTTGTCCAAGGAACTCCACTTCATGTCCTTAAAGACGTACTGAGGAAGTACCTGTTCTTCTTCCCTGCCAACAGGATTGAGATTCAACCAGATTGGTACTGTCTTGTTAAAGCTGTGTACAGCTGTATTCATGCTGAGTTAAAACGTCTGCTTCCTGTTGTCAGAGCCGCACAAATGGACAACTCTGATATGCACTCTGCCATCTACATTTCGTGGGTGAATACCTCCACTGCCAACAGAGGCAGGGCGTTCTTCGACAATCTGCTGCAAGATGAGCTTCAGCACTTGAAAAACACAGAGTACAACATTACCTCAAGGAAGTCTGTGGCGGAAAATGTTTACAGGTTGAAAACCTTGCTTCTGGATATTGGATTCAACTTGGTTCACAGCTGCGATGAAACAGCAAACCTCTACCTGTGTCTGCAGGATGCTGGGATACCAGTTAGTTATGTCACACCAGAAGATGTCCGCTACTTCCTTCACACGTTCTCTTCCCCAGACTCGTCTTGCCAGATTGGGAAACTACCCTGTCGCCTTCAACAATCCAACTACAAGTTACCGCACAACCTGAAGATCTTGGTTGACTACTGCTTCAAAGATGTGGAGGAAGGTAAAGTCATTATCGAGGGTCTTCCTCTGTTGTTAACAATGGACAATGTGCTTCAGGTATTTGATACCAAAAGACCAAAGTTTCTGACATCACACCACGAGCTGGTCTCAGCAAGGAAGGAAATGTTCATGAATTCTATGTACATCAGGTACAGCAACCTTCTGTTAAAGGCAGGAGCTGCAAAGATCTTCGACATCAGCAGCTTTGGTGACCTACTAGGGTCTGTTCTTCCAAGAGAGTATCGGACAAAAGTCCCTGTAAAGTGGAGAGACACTTTTGGAAGTGAGTCCTGGCTAAAGAATGTGTGGAACTTCATCAGTGAGAACATTGCCGTCAAGGAGGATCAAGTGGGTATTAAACCCTGTTTTGAGACGGTGCTTGACATCCTGAAAGACTGGGCTTTGCTCCCCGGAATTAAGTTCATGACAAGAGAAAAGATAGTTGTTCCTGAGCATGAAATCCTTCTGCCACTGAGCTTGATTAACATAGCTCTGTTTCCACATGGCCAAAATGACAAAGTCTTCCACACACTGATGAAAGCAGGGTGCATTCAGCTAGCAGTAAACAAAATCAGTGTCAAAGAAAACCCCATCATGTCTCTTCTGCCGCAGCATACAGCAAACATCGAATGTCCGTCAAGCGTTCTCAAAGCCGTAGAGTTCATGATACAAACATCGTCATTCAAATCGGCAAACCTGACGGACAAGGACTTCGAGGCTCTTCTGTTGTATTTCAACTGCAACCTTGCTAACCTCACTCAGCACAACGTACAGACCCTGAAACTCCTCCCATGCTTTAAATCAGTCAGTGGGAAATACATCAGCATCGCAAACTTTGGAGCAAACTATATACTTTCCAAAAGCATTCCCACTGCAGACATCGAAAAATGGTCAACCACAACATCATTTTCCTTTCTTACGGACAATCCACAGCTGAAGGAACTGTACTCGTTTCTTGGTTGCGTGCCAATTGATGACATGGAAACCTATCTTCACCATCTCCTGCCAAAGTTTGAGAGTTTCTCTTATGAGGCTAAAGTCGAACACATTGTCTACCTAAAAGAAGCACTCATGTCAATGGAAGAATCGTGCAACATTAAAGATCGACTCTATGAGAAGTTGGAGGGACTGTCCTTCATTTATGACTCCTCAAACCGACTCAGGCCAGCCAAGTTCTTCTTTGACGAGACAGTGAAGGTGTTCGAAGTTATGCTGCCACCAAAGTCATTTATTACGAGTGACTTTTTCAAGAAAGTTGAAAAAGTGTCGAAACCAAAGAATGGCACGTTGCTGCTCACGTCGTGGATTACCTTTCTGAGAAATATTGGTCTCAAACATGAAATTTCACAGCAACAGGTTCTTCAGTTCGCAAAGGAGGTCAGCATCAAAGCTCAGACAGAAAATTGGACAAAAGAAAAAGTGCACACCACTGTAGATGTTCTTCTGAACCACATTTTCAAAGAGAGAACAGATTTGTTCCAGGGCAGTTTTCTCAAAGAGCTCTCGATGATCCAGTTCCTGTGCCCAGAGAGGGCGCCTAAAGAACTCATCAAGCTTCACTTGCAGTACCAAGAAATGACCGGCACACTTCCTTTGATTCGGTTTAGTGGGTCTCAGGTAAATCCAAAGTTCAAGCAGACAGACATTATCCAGTTGCTCTGGACTTCCTGTCCAATCCTACCGGAGAAAGCCACACCATCGAGCATTAAGGACCAAGAAGGAAGCACTCTCTCTGGACAGGAACAGCTTGACCAAGTGCTAAGCATGCTGGGCGTTAGCCTGGATCCACCTCTCGATAAAGTGATAACAAACTGCAAGAACATTTGTAACATATCCAGTCCGGATGATGAAACGGTGAAAACGAGGAACAAAGTCCTGCGATCCACTTATGAGTTCCTGAATGCAGATAAAAGAGATTTCCGATATCATCTGCGCAGCGTGGCTTTTGTCATGGTTGAAGATGGCTGGAAGTTGCTCAAACCTGAGGAAGTTGTCATTAATTTGGACAATGAATCCGACTTTAAACCCTACTTGTACAAATTGCCTCTTGAACTCGGTACCTTTCACCAACTCTTTAAACTCCTTGGCACGGAAGATGTGGTTTCAACCAAACAGTATGTTGAGGTTCTGTGGCGAATTTACAGAAATTCTGAAGGCAAGCAGCTGGACCCAAATGAAATGAGGACGGTGAAAAGAGTTGTGTCAGGGTTGTTCAAATCTCTCCACAATGATCCTGTGGAAATCCGCAAAGACCTGGAAGACCTAAAGGACTTGTCCTTTTATCTGCCCAGCCACGATGGTAGATTAGCCAAATCCAGCAGTCTAGTGTTCGATGACGCCCCACACTACAAAAGTCGCATTCAGGGAAATGTTGGCGTTCAGATGCTTGTGGACATGAGCCAATGTTATCTGGGCAAGGATTATGCCTTCCACACAAAGTTGATCATGCTGCTTCCACAAAAGTTAAGGCCAAGGCTGTTGAGTAGCATTCTAGAAGAGCAACTTGATGAAGACTCTCCGAGAATGTGCCAGTTTGGAGCTTTGTGCTCTCTACAAGGTCGCCTCCAACTATTGCTATCGTCAGAACAGTTTATCACCGGTTTGATCAGGATAATGAAACACGAGAATGACAACGCATACCTCGTGAACGAGGAGAAGGCCATACGCCTCTGCAAAGCTCTGTGTGAAGGACTCAAAGTTTCTTGTTTTGAAAAGCTTCAAACAACACTAAGGGTGAAGGGATGCAGTCCCATTCCGCACAGCCGCAGTGAGACCCTAGCGTTTCTGAAGAGGTACGGTACCGCTGTGATCCATCTGTACATCCAGCATTCAGACAGCAAGGACATCAATTTTCTACTGTCACTGGCCATGACTCTGAAGTCTGCTACAGACAATTTGATTTCTGACACATCCTATCTTATCGCCATGCTGGGCTGCAACGACATCTACAGGATCACAGAGAAACTGGACAGCCTTGGCGTTAAATACGATGCCACAGAGCCCTCACAGCTGGAGCTGCCCCTCCCTGGAACCCCCATACCACCTGAGATACACCACACGCTTCTCATGGATCCAATGAATGTCTTCTACCCGGGTGAATACGTTGGTTACCTCGTAGACTCTGAAGGAGGAGACATGTATGGGACGTATCAGCCAACGTACACATATGCAATAATTGTTCAAGAAGTGGAAAGAGAAGAAGAAGAAAACACAAGTTTCCTCGGAAAATGCTTTCAAATTGATATTGGATACAGTGAATACAAAATAGTCAGCTCCCTTGACTTGTACAAATTCTCAAGACAAGAGGAAAACACCCACGTTCGAGACACCAGTGCCCCATCAACTCCTACCAGCCCTGACAGCCGGTCCACCGGTGTCCGCATGGTTCCTCCTTTATTCTCAAGAAAGGAAAATCTCAGACCTCCTCCGAGAAAGCAATCGCCAAAGAACATCAAGCTTAATGCGTTGCCTGAAATCCTGAAAGAAGTGACCTTGGTAATTGAACAAGCTTGGAAACTTTCTGAAACAGAGAGAAAAAAGATTATCCGCCGACTGTATCTCAAGTGGCATCCAGACAAAAACGCAGATAATCTTGACGTTGCCACGGAAGTCTTCAAGCACTTACAGACTGAGATCACCCGTCTGGAGAAACAGTCTTTGGCTGATCAGCAGAATGCTGAAAGAGCTTCCAGGAGATCCTTTTCCACGTCATCATCACGCTTCCATTCTGAGAAGTTCTCATTTCAAAGGTTTTATTCATCATGGAACCAAGAAGCGACCAGCCACAAGTCAGAAAGGCAGCACTTCAGGGAACAGTACACCAGCTACGCTGGCTCGTCACATTCTCACCGCTTTTTTGTGCCTCCGACTTTCAAGACAGTTGGTAACCCCGTGGAAGCCCGCAGATGGCTCAGGCAAGCCAGAGCGAACTACTCCGCTGCTCGCAACGATCTTCATAAGAACGCTAACGAGTGGGTTTGCTTCAAATGCTACCTGGCTACGAAGCTGGCGTTGATTGCTGCAGACTATGCCGTCAGAGGAAAGTCTGACAAAGACGTCAAACCAACAGCTCTGGCTCAGAAAGTCGAGGAGTACGGGTCTCAGCTTGCAGGCCTTGCCAGTGATGTTCAGATCCTGGAAGGGTACGGCGTGGACAGTCTGAGGACACGTTACCCCGATCTGCTGCCATTTCCTCAGATTCCCAACGACAGATTCACATCTGAGGTGGCGATGAGAGTGATGGAGTGTACGGCACGGATTATCATAAAGCTCGAGACCTTTGTGCAGCAAAAAATATGAAGACGTTAAAGGAAACAGTATGCAAAGATTCTCAGCAGAAGAAGAGGTTCTACTTTTTCGTTGTGTGCAATACAGATAGTGTAAATTTCTCAGAATGAAAACAAAGTACCCAGCTGGCAGCTTACACTACATATGCAGTTTGGACCCCTGCAGGTGGCGCTGCGGCCCACGCTCAGTAAACGTACCGTATGTATGGCTCCCTTCGCCCATTCAGCTGCTTCACTCCGTGTTTGCTGTAATGTGCAAAAACAAGCATCTGTTGTAAATACGTCCACAACAACGTTTTCGTTACCAAAGTCAACATTTATCAAGTATATCCTTTGAGTTATGATAAGAAATACGCTGCATTTATCTTATCATAACTCAAAGGATATACCTTTGAGTTATGATAAGAAATACGCTGCTTTTTATGTTACCTTTTTTTTAAATAGATAAAATAATGATATACATAGAACATATATATTTTTCTTGCAACAACAAAGACGTTGTGCAAAAAGAATGTAGAAAGTAACGAACTTTTCAAACGCGTTCATGCAACTTACCTGTTTGAGATCGCAATCAAAATGTTTCTTATTTTGTTTTTGTTGTTTACTTTATTTGTTTTATTTATTTCTATGATTTTGTAGAATATTTATTGGTGGACAGCTCATGTCCTCAAACCCTATGTTTGTTTTTTTTTTACTTTCTTTTGTGAATGAAAAGCTTTACGTGTTAAAACGCACAATTATAACGCAGTTACGTTTTCTTCGTCTTCCGTCATAATTTATTTCATGAAAAAAAATCGATAGATATTTACGGCGTTTCACGAATTTTGCTGACTATTTTCTGTTCATAGGATTAAAGAAAACTCAGTCAGGACATGTAACAGAATAAACGAGCCATATACTCTGAATGCTGTAGCGATGCCTTCACGCGTTAACTTGTCGCCTGATCCATTTTTGGTCATTTTACTTATTTATCAGACACAGATCGACATCTAACTGTGACTATTGAGCATTGACTACATTTGTTGTTGTTTTTTTTTTATCAAACTTGAAAAGACAAAACACACTGACCATGTCATGTCTCATTTTGAAATGTGATTTTCATGTAACACACTCATTCGAAATCATTTCCCTGATTGATCGCCACCTGTAGTACAAACCTGGCACTGTACACTGTAACACCAAAGGCTTAATAAAAAGGATCTGTGTCTGGTGTTGTTTGTCAATTTTAACAAAACGAAAATAATAAAGTTAAAATGCTGCTTATTGTTGTACACTAGAGGGCGCCAGAGTCTAATTATGGATTAAAAATTACTTTTACTTCTATAGAAAGCATGCGTTTTTGAAACCTTTAGAAAATAGTTCTTAATTTTACGTTATTAATTGATTAGTTTAGCTAACCAAAATAAACAACCTACAATGTTTAGAAGAATATCAGTTTAATAAACATACATAAAATCAATAAATATATATTACACACTTTTAAAAAAAAATGCCAGGAATACAGCAAACTAATAAAATGATATGAAACGTTGACGTTAGCAGAAACCTAAGCTAATGTTAATGCTATTGTGTTGAGCAGCTAACCTTAAAACACTGATACAATTTTAAGTGCCTTCATCTCACCTTTGTTTTTGCCTTGTACGACGTTTTTAAGCAGAGCCCAGCTTTTAAAGAAAAAAAAAACAACCTTTTTCATACGTAGAGAATAATTACACACTAAGTCCTAACATATAACTGCACACACGGAAACATCACAAAAAACAGAGAAAATGCTTCATCCCCATTATAATAACTTCTTAACCAAAAACAAAAAACCACTTTGATATATTTGCTTTTGAATTAAAATTACTTCATCAATGTCTTATCTGAGAATATTTTTACCAACACCTATTTCCAATTTGATAAAAACAAAAAAACCCATGCTTAACACAAAAACACATTAAAAAAATACCAAGGGCACAGATTCAAGGCCACACATAAAACGTTTTTTTTTTGTTTGCCACAATTTGGGACAATCATTTTGTAATTCCAAGCCCTTGATAAGTGGTGAGGATAAGTCCGGGGTCGACCCTGATTTTATGAATCAACTCTTCAGTGTCTGATACACTTTAACTTGCACTGAAAATCTAATAAAAAAGGTCTTTGTTCTTTTTAATTTTTAAATTAAAACATTTTTGTATCTTAATCTACGAGCATGATCTCAGTCAAACGACAAAGAACCTAAAAAATAAATCATATCCACAAATGAAAGCTAACTTTGTAAATGGCTCCTGTGACTGAAGCGTTAACCTCAATAAAATCGAATCATTTTATAATCACTGTGAGTTTAAAAACTAACCGACATCTGAAGACCACCGCAGGAACAAGAACTGTTCCTTAGAACTAACTAACCAACAGGAGCGGCCCTGGACTCATCACTCACCACTGTTCGTCTAAATTTATTGCACCACAAGATAATATTGCATAGAATGTAAGCTGTTACCAGCTCCTCGTTGCCCAGCCATGACATTGAGTGTAAAATAATAATAATAATAAAAGTTGTCCGCAATCATCGTTTTTCTTTTGATTGCCAATTAGTTTCAACGGGAAAGTTAAAGAATCACAAACGCAACTAAAAGACAGAGTTTCCCAGCAGGCAGTCGTTACATTTGTCACTTTTACTAAACTACCAGCACAGACGCTCTGGTATAAAACATTAAAACATTTTTTAAAAAGCTGGGTGACAACAGCTGTGCTTATTGGCTCCCGGCAGACGTCAACTAGGAGAAAGAAAACCAGTTACCTTACCAGAGTCTATCTAGCACTCCTGGTTCTCACTGCACGTGGAGATGACCTCGGCTTTGGACAGGAACAGTTTCCCGCTGGGACACACGCACACTTCAAAGAGGTCCTGGGGGTTTCCAGAAAAGCCGCCTTGGCTCACGGGGAGGCTCGGCATCCGCACCGTCTCAGCATCGAGCACCATCTGCAGGGCAGACGGGGGCGGGACAACAAACAGTACTGTTACAGCAGTACTGTTACAGCAGATCAACATGCAGTACTGTTACAGCAGTAATCAACATGCAGTACTGTTACAACAGCAGTACTGTTACAGCAGATCAACATGCAGTACTGTTACATGAACGTTATGTTTCTGAACATTTCAGTCTGACTAACACTGTAAATCCAACTTTAATTTTCTTTCAGTTGCCGTCTTACCAGTCCAACAGTAGAATGCAGGACAACGTCCATGTTGGACGCAGCTTCAATGTTGCCGTTGGGGGCTTTGATGTGAACTCCTTTTGGAGCGTCCATGCTGAGAGAGCGAGTGGGAGACTCCAACCTGGAGGAGAACAAGTCCGTTTTTATAACAGCTCAATAAAGTTCAGTTCCATCTAAATCTCTCAGCCCTTTTTTGGTCAAATCTCTCTTTGTATTCAGGGTCGGAGTCGACTCTCGGGTCTGTGTGTTTTTGTAGTGGAAATCATGATACTACAGGGACTCGGCCCAAACTTTGATCAACCACTTCCTGTTCTGACTGTCAAAATTCACTGAACTTTATTTTAAAAAGTGACAAAAAAGTCAAAGTCAAGTATAAATGAGTGCAGTTCCCCCAGGTGGGAAAGAACAAATAAATTGAAATTGAGAATATCTTTAACTGTCGTTAACTCACCTAGCTCTCCTGCATTAGCGCTCTGCTACGAACGAGGCTAGCACAGATCTGTTTCTGCCTAACATTTAAAATCAGACGACAGAACTGAGCCAGTGTCGGAATCACTCACTTTAGGTCTTTGAAAAGCTCCGACCTGAGCACCGGCACCTCCACTGAATGTTGAAACAGCGCCCCCTCTGGACCTGAGGAGAAAAAGAGTAGAAACATTTTCATCAACTTGGTTTGGGATTCTTTGATCCAAAGATGAAAAAGACATTTTTGATTGTTTACTTTTGATGTGAGGACTTCTGATAGAATTTCACAGGAAACTTTTATCAAGACGAGTTCTTTTTCAAGTGAATTCAGGGATTTCTATTTTTGTAGCGGCCGGCCTACAGTCCAGATTACTCTCGTTTTGATAATACAACATGAAGAAAATAATCCGACAACAAGAGGCGAAGACTGTGTTGTTTTAAATGTTCTGTATGAATAAAGTGGGAGTGGGTTTCCGACCGTAACGAAGGCATCGCGGCTGTGGGATCATTGGTTTCTAATGAAAAGAGTGAAAAAAAAAACACCAACCAGACAACAACGTGTTGATGATGTCACCGAGGACGACGACGGTGCAGAACTGAACCACAGACGAGCTCTGTGTGGTCAGAAATGGCCCGGGGCTTAATGAAGCTATCAGCTGACGGTGCTATTAATCAGCCGTCACAGTGTGTGGTCAGCGACCCACAGCAGCACCAACACACACACACAGAGACACTGGACGCTGAGACAAGAGGACGAAAGAGACACAGGACGAAGGACGAGCCTGATGGAAATATATTTCAGCCTTTAACATGACGTGCTCATGTTAGAGCTAGCTTCACTGTTAGCCACCTTAGCTAATAGTCGGCCGATGGATCAGACTGACCTGTGTGACCTCACACTGACCTCAGCTCCAGACAACACACCATCACTGACAGAGTTTAACTAGCAACCTCCAGGTCACACCAACCACCTTCACGTCTCCTGTCACTTCACCCATGAGTCTTCACTGCAGTTTGAACCCTTATAAACCCGGACTCTCTGATTGGTCAGTTATTTCCAGGTACCTGTGACCCGCAGTTTGTCTGGTCCAATCACGGTCTGGTTGCCATCTGCACTGAACAGCATGCTGCCGGTGTTGGAGTTAATGAGCAGACTCCCTGTGTGACCCTTCGCCTCCTTTGGACCTGAAACAACAACAACAACAACATTGACTGACGTCATCTTTAAAAAAAATCAGATAAAAACAACATTGTATTTATGTGTTTTTTCCTTATTTCCTCCTGAATGGCAACCATTAAGAGTAAAAAAAAAAAAAAGAAACGCGGGGATTCATAAAGTTCGGTTGGACTAATGATCAAGTGGGTCAATCACTCCGCGGGTTTTGAACCGGCGACTACTGTGACGCAGCGTGGAGTCTTTCCTAACATTGACGGAGACGACACAGACACGTCGTGATCAAGGACACACGGCGGCGCTGTCCGCATGTGTAATTAGCTGGGTCATTTCTAGACTCGGTTTTAACGAGGACAAAACAGCCCACGGTGAGACATAAAAGACGAACAAACGTGATTCTCGCCGCTGCCTCTGTAACAGGACAGGAGACGGTTACATTTAACGACTTTTAAATGGAAAAATACGGGATTGTTAAAGGGAAGGTGGGTTTTTTTGTGTGTTTTTTTTTCCAGAGTCGATGAAGGACCGCTGCAGGACAAGTGTGTTAATAAATATCCACTAATGCTCTCATCTATCTCTGTGTGTGTGTGTGTGTGTACAGTGGTCACGTGTGTTGTCCAGTCTGACTCTCACCCACTGAGATCCTGCCCGTCACATCACCGTTCTCATTACGGGCGTTGAGGGAAACGTTTTCAGATGACTGTGCCAGGAGTGATGAGTCCTGGAAAAAAGAAAAAACACAAAAGGTTTTTATGTGATTTCCTGTTTCTGTCCAGAAAGAGAAACAAATATATACAAATATCTGGTCAAAGTCTCTGTTCTGTTAATGTGGTTCTTGTCTGTTTACAGTCAGTGCTGCCTTCACGGCCTCTTGTTAACATTTATAATAATTCGGCTGAAGACGACGAGATGGAAAAAAACGTTTTTCTTTTCTTTTTTTTTCTTTTTTTTTTTTTTTTACAGCCTTGAAGCCTGAACGTTTATGAACTGAGATCGTTTTGAACAAATATGAATATGAGCTGTCACCACCAGGGGGTGCGTTATTGTATCAGTAAATCAATGTTATTTCTACATCATGTCTGTATGGAAGCCTGTGGCGAGGGATATGCTGAAGCAGCCAACTTTTCATGTCCACACTGAGGGAGGGAGNGAGAGAAAGTGTCCGTCCATAAATGATGAATACGTTCCTTTTAATGAGACCATAAAGAAAGAATGGTTTTTAAAAAATGCTGCTATGAGCAGAAACAGCCGTAACATGTAAACAACTGCAGCAGAGTGTTCCCATCTGCTGCGGCGGTCGGGTCATAAACCACACACACACAAATATCCCTGAGGTTAATGGGCAGTACAGTGCAGCAGCACCACGTGCACGCTGTGGAAACTGTTGGTTCTGACACGTCTCCCCTGCAACAGAACACTTCCTGCACTGCCACCAGATTAGAAACTTCTGGAAGTCTGCAGAGAGTTAGTCTGGGGGCAATAAGGGAACAAGACGTGGGGGCAGATGCAACACAACAATCTAATTCACAGCTGGGTAAACAGCCTGATGAAAGAATGACTACGGGTGTCGGCACGAGTCCACGGAGAAAACACCAGTCTGGGAGTTTGGTTAGAACGGAGGCAGAGGAGCGGGAGATGAAGAGGAGTCATTACCTCTCTGGAGTGAATCTCCTGAGCGTAGACAGGAAGCAGGAACTCGGACTCGCCGTCCTCCAGCTTCACTCCGTCTGAGTGGACCTGGAGGTAACCCATCCCTTCCTGAGAGCCAAAAACACAGACAGAAAGAATTAGTTCCAAGTTAAAAGTGTTGATTTTCATGTGTCTGGACCGTGAGCCTCTGTGATCTGATCTGAGCTGAGGTCACTGACCCCTGGGGTCACGACCTGCTTCTGTGCCTCGACTGAGTTTTGAAATCCAGTTCCTTTCACGTGTTCTTACAGATCAAAACCTCTGCTGGAGCCTGAACATTTTTCAGGATTGAAAACACCTGACAGTTACAGTAACTCAGCTCCGCTGACAGAAGTCCAGGACAACTGTCTTAGAACAGTTTTTTAAGTTTTTTGAGTTGATGGTATTAGTCATTGTTTTGGCTCAAAAAATGTCTCTGTTTTCCAAAAAAAAAAAAAAATTCAACAATAACATTTTAAGACTTGGAAATATAATTACTTCTGCATAAAAAATAAAATACCTTAAATGTTCTGAAACAAATCCTTTAATTCTAGAACAGCTAAAAGCTCCAGCATTTGTGGAAAATTTTGGGATTTTTTTCTTTGTTGTTATGAACTGCATATAAAGATGAGAAAACAAATCTACGAAACTCGATGAATAAAAGAGCGTTCGCCGCCAAGGTGAGCCCTGCGTACCGTGTTGAACCACATCACCCGCAGGATCCAGATGGTCAGAGCAAAGTTGACCACCAGGATGATGATGAGCAGCAGGACGAAGAGGTAGAGGCAGCGCTTCCTCCAGCCATAGATGCCGATCTTGTAGACCTGCTCTGGCACCGTCCTGGGCGAACTGCTGCCCTGGGTGGTGCTGACATACTGCTCCCGCACCATCTGCTGGCTGACACACACACAGAGAGAGAGAGAGAGAGAGAGAGACATGAAAAAACAGCTGTTATACTGAGACAAAAAAAACTGACAGAAAGAATGGAAGGACTGTTGAGCTGGGGAACAGGAAACAGCAGAAGTGACAAGACTGAAAGAATGACTATTGATTTGAAGTCGTGTTTCCTGTGACCTGCAGAGTCAAGGGTACATTTTCATTTCTGTTTTACCTCCGGTCTTTTCTCCCTTTTTTTTCTCTCTATCATCTACTGA